ACCTGCCTCACACCTGCCACTGCTGCATAACAGAACAAAGACCGGATCTACAAAAACATTAATAACGTTTCTGAAAATTGTTATGTAAAATGAGAGGGTTTTTAAATCAAAAACATTAATAACGTTTCTGAAAACTGTTACGTAAAATGAGAGGGGTTTTTTTTATTATTATTATTTTCATCTTAGCAGTTACAATTTTTGGGTCATTCTGAAAAATCGAACACATAAAATAAGTCATTTAGTTGTGAAATATAAAATCCAAGGAAAGAGAAGAATAAAAATCTATAGAATATAAATTAACGTGTAAACAATATGCAATAAAAAGTGACAAATGCCGTGAAAAGATCAGCATGATAACTGCATATTAACGTGTAAACAATATGCAATAAAAGTGACAAATGCGGTGAAAAGATCAGCTGTATTTATTATTATTTTTTATTAAGTAAGGAGATGTTTTAAAGAGCACGTTCAGATCACGTTCTCCACGTGCTCCAGGAATAAACAGAATCAGTCATAAATTTGTATCTTACTAACGAGAGACTTGATATTTACATCCTTAGTACTGAACCAGTGTGTAAAAGGAAAGAACGAGATTATTATTATATAAGTGTGCTGTCTGAACGGTTCAAACCTGACCTCATTTGCTGTGAAAAATAAATCCATAAATCAACAGTAGGAACAAGGAGAAGAAGAAGAAGAAGAAAAACCAGCACGGGATCTTTCTCACCTGGCTTCATGGCGTTGAAGTAGAAGACGACCATCATGAAACAACCCAGGGACAGAGCAAAAATCATGCGAAATACTTTGGGTTTCCTCATCCTGTGTCACTAAAAACCAGTGGAACCGAATCCAGTCCGACGTGGAGGGTGTTCGACACCGGGCTGGGTCTATTTGATGACGGACGGTAACAGCACAGTGAACCGGGCTCGAATACCTCTGCTGCTTCTTACCTTTGTGTGCATCCTGGCATAGTTTAATCTGGCTACCACTGTGGTACAGACATTGGGGGTGAAAAACAAATAATCGGTACCAGCGAGATTTAACTGGGCTGGTGCGAGGAAAACCAGCATTAGACACCGTTGACAGCGCACTACGGCTGGAAAAACAACCGCAGGGCAACACCGTAATTCTCGGTATAGTGGTCCAAAAAACGGCCGCCGCTGAGTATATAATAGCGGGATACGTGAGGCCGAGCAGTCGCTGCTTTTCACACACTGACCCTTGTAACGCTGACTGCTTCAGCCTAAACCCCCTCAATCTGAGGCCCAGAATCATTTACCACGTGTTTTCCTCCCACCCTTTCAAAATAAAACAACACGCGCGCTTAAATCCCTCAGCGTCAGTTTTTATTCATCATTGTTTTGACATCGCGTAATAAGTGAATTTGTGTGAGTATTATATTTAATCATCTGTGGACACATGTTTTATTATGACGGGAGGAGGTACAATAGTTGACAGAGCAGCTCTTTGAGAAGTAAAAAGGTTTATTTAGATGTCCCCATGAATCTAAAGCGCTAAGGTCAGGTTTGACCCTAAATAAAGTAAATTTTCTATTAAAGCTTATAATATTCAGTGGACTGTTACTAATGGACTTCATGATGCAGTCGGTCGGACAGTGTGTTTCATTTTTCTCTTTCCCCAACATCCGACATCCCTGCTCAGATTACTGAGACTTGGCTATCGCCACCATTTGAGTCCTTAAAACCCACTGGCATTTACACTGGAAATAAACCAACACAAGGTTCACTAAAAACTACCATTTTAAAGTCAGACCACAGATCAGTAACGTAAGTGTAACGAATGAAGAACAACAATTATAATTTTACAAAACCAAACCATACCAGTAAAAAAAGGTTTCTGTTCAATAGATCTAGACAAAGTCAAGGTCAATGTGTATATTTGGTGTTTTTTTATTTCCCTATTTTAGTATACTATACATAGTTTGTATGTTGCAAGAGCTAAAGGCTCATGTGAGTGAAATGTATGAAAAATGGGAAAAAAGAAAATAAAAAATACAATTTTATTCAGCACGTTGAGATTTTATTTTGACATCGTAATGAAGTCATATCCGGTGTTAACTGTATGTCAAGTTACCTTAACACCTTATTTTAACACTAGGTTTTAAATTGTAAAAAAGCTGATGGATTGTAGTCAGACATCTGCTGTTGATTTTCAATTCCACTGTGCTACATCTGTCAAAGTCAAAGTCGACACTTGAACAATGAAGAGTTACAATGAATAGGTTTTGTTTTTTTGTATTTATCATCGTCCCTCTGTGCTCGCTGAAATCTTTAGTGAAGAGTCAGTGAAATACACACGCACGAAAAAGCAACTTAGCGTGAACTGCTGTGAGAAATCACCGTTCCTTGTAATTCATTAACTGCAACGACTATTCACTTTTTTAAAATTATAAAATATCTATTTTGGATACAATAAGGAAACCTTGACACGTTTCCACAGTGAACTCCCGTCTTCCTTAGAAATGACACTCGACGTCATCGTCACGTATCTTTATCAGCTGGTTTTACGAAGGCGTAGGGTCGACCGTGTCTCCTGAAGCTTGACCGCTCCTCCAGGAGAGGGGGTGTGGGACAGTCCAAATGTCCCCTCGTCTCTACAAACACTGCCTCTGCACTTCTGTTTATACAGTAACTGCACCACTTGACAATGAAGCTAATCTAATGTAATCTAATCTAAAAAAAAATCGAAAAAGGCGGGTAATTAGAAACTGAGATTCTAATTCATTTTTCATTTACCGTAACTGCTGGTCCTTTAAAATACACGTCATGAATAAAGTCACATATAACACCCACCGAGTCTCTTAGTAATCGATACTTTGGATCTCTGTGCTGTTCATTAGAAATAAGCCAGTCAATTCGCAAATTAATATCACACAAGGTTAGAGTGCAAACACGAGGGAGATGATGGTGCCATCTAGCGGCCAGTAACTGCAGCAACATCAGCAGTAAGCACACGTCATAATAAAAAAGTGAGAAAGTGTAATAATAATAATAAATTAATAATAAAAGAATAATACATCAAATACTCTCAACATTTTTATTTTAATGGGTCACAGCAATTGGAGAGAGACATGTTTGTTTATTTTTTCGAAGAAAATATTTGGCTACAATTGAAAAATAATGTCTACTACAGGAAACCACCACTGAAGTGCAATGTGATTCTTCATGATCTTAGAAACAAAAGAGAAAAATAAGAACAAGTTAAAGACATGTTGAAGCTATGCCTTACACTTAACGTTTTATTTTTTTAACATTGTCAATTATCATAAGAACTGGTCTGCGTGTTTGTTGTTTTACCTTCTGGCCTCAAAGGAAAAGTAAGACAGAGCAAATATGCTTGTTCGTTATATATAGGATTTACAGCCACGGTGATGAATCACAGTCAGCTCCTCCCTTCATCAGGGTCACCACTGTTAGCCTATGTAGCATTTTTGCTAATGTTTTATGATGTGTCAGGGTAAACCCTGAAACGAGGATAGTCAGTGTCCTGTTAATCTGTAACCAGAACCTCACTCACTTCAGGAGAGTAAATGTGACCTGACAGGTTTCAGGTCATGGTGGAATTCAGTGGTTAAACATTGTCAGTTAGTGTCTGTTCCTCATCATTATGATTCAACGGCTGAAATATTTATGAGATTCTATTGTACAACTCCCCCCTTGACCACTGACAATATGAAGTGGGAAAAGCAGCAAGTCATGGTGACATTAGAAGAAGTCAGCGGAGGATCGGGTTCCTGTAAATACTTTTAGACTCGTTTTGAAAAACCCCATCATCAATTAAAGTTGTAGCTACTCTTTTAATTTTAAAGTCATAAAATAATTCAATCTTCAAATCTACGACAGAGAGACAGACAGACAGACAGACAGAGAAACAGACAGAGAGACAGACAGACAGAGGTTGGTACAAATTGGTCACCTAGCCATAAAGATAATAACTGATAAAATGTTAAATAACCCTCACAAATCTGCTTTCTCTACGACTTGTATGTTTGTAAGACAGACGTCTACATTGCTACGAGTTAGATAAATATAAAATATTAATACAGAGCAGCTCCCTTCGTGTGTGTTGACGTCAGTCCTTTAAAAAAGAGAGAGAAAATGAGTCCAAATTCATCAAAGCTGCAGTTGTCCAGGAAACCAGTTTGTACCAATGGCACCGACAAAGGCTTCACACCAGCTCTGATGCTTGGATCAAAAACCTCTCCTCGTGGATGAGTGGCCCTAACAGGAAATGCTGCTATTATTACTACAAGGCTCTCTGATTTAGATGTTGAAAGGTTGGTGGCTGCAACAGGCTGTTTTTATCTGACGCACTGCCTGTGTCGGAGCAGATCTCTCATTCACTCATATGTGCTCTGCTGCTGTTGAGTATTTAAAGTGGTAACATTTTAAGATCATTTTAATACATGACATAAAATTATTAATTTAGATTATATATTGATAGCAGTAAAGGCAGCATCAATAACTTAAAAATCATCTAATAAACAATTTAATGTCAACACTGTGAATACAGCTGTTGCTATATGAAATTACAACTTCTTCAGTATTAAGCATTTGTTACATTGCAATATTGTTGCCATCACATTCTGAATTTGTTATTTTAGAAATTTCAAATGTCAGATTAACATGTAGGGGCCGAAAGACAGTGAGGAGGTGTGCAGTCAGACTAACTGATGGGTTCACCTAGTGTTGTATCACTGATCACTTGTGAGTCTCCTCTTGTTCAACACACCTATAAACAGGCTTGTGGATCAGAATTGCACTGTAGCTGGTCAGGACACTTGTCTTTATTAACAGCCGCTCAATTTAGTGGCTGCTAAACTGACTGGTGTTGCTTACTGTCCTGCCTGCTCCTGAACATGAGAGAAAAAAAAAAAAAAGAAATTAGACAAAAATCAGTGAAATATCCCTTTATTAAATGACAAGTAGGCTACAAAGGCTAGCCAGCAACATTTTTTTAACATTAATTTGACTCCTTACCTACATACACAACTACATACATCCTAACATACACATGCTGCAGAGCCAGGACAGCAGAATGAAACAGCACACAAGCTTTAAATGAAGTCAAACGTATGTTTATATTGACAGTAGAATACTGGTTCCTTCTTCTGTATACCTGTACTGAGACACAGCACAGCAGCGTGGTAGAACGCCGTTTGTATTAGCCTTAAGTCCTTTCTGACATGATAGGAAAAAATCAGATGTGTAATATAATGCCTCATACTCTGAGTTAAACAATTCAATGGAGTTATTACAAATCACACTGTGGAACAAGGATCTACTTGGGTATGAATAAAATGATGTGTATGGACTGTATAACAGAGAAGCCTGTGGAACATGGGCATTAATGCAGGGAGGGGCACGGCAGTAAAACAAAAGAAGTCTGACAAGAAAAATGTTTGAAAAACATCTTTGGTTGAAAAGTCTTTGAAAATGTTGCCCAGGAAACAGATATTCAGGTTTCAAGTAGTTTACTCTTGCACTAGCGCAGCCTTTTATGTTATATTCCATAGCACAAAGAAACGGGTTGAAAGATAAATGTTAAACTCAAGAAATCCTAAAAATGTAAAGAGCACTGGGATTCCTTTATCAATTTATAAAGTCAAAGATTCTCATTTCAAATATTCTGCTATAAAACAAGATCTCAGTTTTATGAAGTATGATCCTATTTAGAGGGAAAAAGTTGTTTACACGTCAGAAATATTTCCAATCACTGGTGTTAAAAATATTCTACTAAATGGGATCATACTCTACAAAACTAAAAACCTGAACTCATATTCTGAAAAGCCTATCCTTTCACTCTGACTACATCCAATACTTGCATACACTCAGTCTGAAAGCAGAGGCTTGACCAGATGGGGATCCAAGCAAGTGACCATGTTTAACTATCGGCTTCCACAGAGCAATCGATAAAAAGAGCAGAAAGGCACGACAGACCTGAAGACTTAGTTGGTGCTTTAATATCATCAATCATGAAGGATTCTAAATGCATTTGAACAACAGGCATCAGCCGTTCAAAGGAAACAATTTGGTTCCTTGACAAAATGGTATACAGTACAAACATGTTCTTGTACTACGTGGTAGGAAGTAGTTCTTGTTGGAGCTGAAGCGCCAGAATAAAGCTAGCAGCTCGGACAATCAGTGCCAGATTGTATCAAACAGACAGATGAACATCTTACCAGCAGTCAGATTTAGAACCAAGTATACATCATCATGAACATGAAGTATGGAAGTCTATGTTTATCCATCTTAGCATGTTACACCACGGAGTCAATTATAAGAGTTTAAAGTTGGGGGTTTGGACGAAGAGTGTGAGCAACCGCCGGGTGCTGTAACAGAGGAACTCAGTCCTGACCCACCTCACTGTAAGGTTACGGGCCAGGACGTCACAAACAGCACCAACACATACGGATGTGTTGGTGCTCCTCTGAGAGCAGGACACGGTGGTGGACAAGGTTCTGATATGAGAGCAGCTAGCTAAACCAGCAGGGTTTAACCTCAGCAGCCAGCCTTGGTGATGTCACCACCAGACCTCTTGGTCACCTCCAAGGTGGTGAAGATCTAAAAAGACAAGGACAGAGACAAGAGACAAGTCAGTCAGACAGCAGCTGGGATTCAGCCTCGTCTGTTTTTATACACACAGGAGGTGAACTCCAGTAACAAGGTTCTTACCTACACTAGCACGTAGACCTGACAGCTGACATGTGTTTGTCTTTTAAGTTAAACCTCTGTATTTATATATTTTTTGCATACATTACAACTTTTACAGCAGCAAGCTGTGTTGGTGTGGTGTCTTCATTTTTCTCAATCTTTATAGAAAAATGGGCAATAAAATAATTGTTGATGTATGTGTTACCACGATAATAAGTTCATCTGCCTTCATTAATATACTGACAAGTCAGTTTTGGTGTGGAACAGCTGTGTATTTCAGAGCTTTTGTAGAACATTGTTCTCACCTCAGCACATGTTGGGTGAATACCAATGGTTCCATCCAGCTGCTCCTTGGTAACGCCACACTTCATGGCTACACCGAAGCCCTGTGTCACCTCCCCCGCATTAGGACCCAGGTAGTGGAACCCAATCACTTGATCCTAAGAAGAACAAGATGTGTGTGTTTATTTGATTTATTGTACGTGTACAAAAGATTCTGCAGTACGTCAACTGTATTCAGATCAGCCCTGACTGTGACCTCACAAAGCACATGTTCTCTCACCCTGTTCAGTTTATTGCAGATGACCTTGGCGTAGCTCTTGTTGTTGTCCCTGCCAGGAACAGTGAACTCCAGAGGCCAGAACAGACTGTGGAACACCTGGACGCAGGGCAGAAGCACAGATGGATTAGCAACCAGAGTCTGTCTCTGAATATCGTGAAGGTCTCACATTGTTAATAAGGCTGGATGTCACAAAAATAAATATAAGTCACAGAAATTATCTGAGAAATTTCAATACGCCCGCCCACAAAATAGAAAAAAAGATGAAAACGGCATATTCCCCAGATTACACAGGACGATTTTTTTTAAAAACATATTTCATTTGAGAAACAACAACTCTGACACTTGACATCATGAACCATTAATATAGTTTATAGACAGATGAACTTAATGATATTTATTTCATCCAAACATGCGTCTCACCTCGATGTTCTCCTGTCCGTACATCTCAACAGCTCTTTCCTCCGACAGGCCACAGGCACCATACTCAAGGGGAGTAAAAACGGTTGTGGGAACGTTGATGTAGTCACACTGAACAGAAAAGAAACATTAGTTAGTGTCAATAAAATCCGTCCCATACAGTTCACTGGTCTACAGGATACATGAAGTTCTTGGACTAAAATTGTGGAACTGGTAACATTAGAGCAGCTGTTTTAGTTTGTGACGCCATTTTGACGTCACAAATCTGGGGAGACCACAGAGATTTAACAGACAAATCAGGTAAGTCAGAGAGAGGAACGTCCTTTTTACTGTCTGAAGGGTAGATCAAAGTACATCTTCAATGTCACTCTACCTTGATACTTGATCCACTGTAAAGGCGCCGAGCCAACAGTTTGCCAGCCTGGATTGCAACAGGTGTCAGTTCCCACTTGCCTTCCAGAATATCTCCAATGGCATAGATGTGAGGCACATTCGTCTGCTCTTCGTCGTTAACCCTAATTTTTCCATTCCTGCAGGAAAATACAGAGGATTTAGCAGTGACAGCAGACCCTTTGGACCTTACGCTTCTTTTTCCCACTGCCACTGGAACTAAATGACAACACCATGATTTCTTTTTGCATTAGATTGTTCCCAGTCACTGTTGTCGTGGAAAAACATGCAGATGCGACCTGTTGGCGGTGGGGGGGGGAGTGATTTGGATGATGTCTGACACGTCGGGTGGGTGGGGAACGAGACGAGAGGCGTGTGTTTGGGGTTGGGGGGGGGGGGGGGGGGTGATTTGGATGATGTCTCCAGATAGCATTAAAGCATTGCAAATTTTAACAGCACTACAATTCCATACATGTCCCACAATCCACTGTGTTCAGAAAAATAGGGAGAAAAGAAAATCCATTTAAGTGGGTTAATACAGCAAAGCTTCAAAAACACATTTGTTAAAGCTGTTAGTGGCTGCTATATCCACATGTCCTGAGGCTAAAGGTCAGCCGATCTGAATACTACTGCAGTCACAAGACTGGCATGAGACTTGGGGCCCTCATAAGTTGAACTTGTGTTGTTTTAATCTTATTTGGCCTCTGAAGCACTCATTAAAAGAAAAAGAAAAAAACTACACTCCTCCAATACCTGCAGCAACAGGATTATTATGGCGGCTAAATGAACATTTTAATTGATTGAAGGTTTGATATGGGTTTTTTTTTTTTTTAAATATACTTATCATGCAGTTGTTCCTTTTCTCGATCAATTACCCCAGCACGCTACCACAGCACCCCTGCAGGAAGCCAACATCTGCTGAGTCACTCTGACAGTGCAAGTCTTAAAGGCACAGGCCACATCAGCTGATGAGGGAGACTATGGGGGAGGGGGCTCTAAAGCAGTATATTGACAGTTTCTCATCTTTAATCAGAGAAAAATACACCGTGAACAATAAACAAAACAGCCATGGAATTGAATAACAATATGAACTGGTTCAAACCCCAGTATCTGCTGAACTAAGACAGGACAGCAGTAGTGAAAAACCATCTTTTAACTTTTAACCCCCCTACAACAAGAAATCAGAAATGCCAGTAGTAAGACACAGAATGACAAGACAGAACAAAAAAGGAAGAAAGTCAAAGACAAATGACCCAGGAAGTAAAGCTAACAAGGAAGCGTTTAACAAGGAGGCGTTTAACAAGGAAGCGTTTAACACGGCCGATGAACTGAGATAAGGTGTCATTTTACTGTTAGACACTTGGTGTGCTGTCCTGGAAGCGAGTGAGTCATTGTTGCTTCCTTGTTACTATGGGCAGGACGACCAAGCATTGATTAAAAAAAAAAAAAACCAAGAACGTATGTCAGCGAGACTGTCAGTGTAAAACTACACCTGTACCGTCTGATAAGAATCCTGAAGAATAGACTAGAGTAAAAATTTCTTGGCCAATTAAATTGTGACCACACACACACAGACATTTCAAGCAACGTCCTAGTGATTTTTTTTTTAGCCGTCTCATTGACCGACACTAGGAGTTACCCATTATTTCCAGAGGCTCGTTGCACAATGAGTATGAGTAACAATGTGGCTGAGAAACCTTGTTTCACCGCTCATGTGTTCAGACACGCCCAAACAATCTTCCACAGTGCCTGACACATCTCATTTACAGCAACGAGAAAAGCGAGAAAAGAAAAATCCCAACGGCACAACAGAAAAAGACGAGCTAAAAATAACTGACCAACCAGACAATGATGGTCTCTGTTATTTCTAACAAGACTCGTAGAACTGAAGAACCATAACAACAATCACGAGTGTTTCTCCCCTTAAGAAGGAACCATGAAAGCTGTCCCAGTGCCAGGAACTTACTTTGCGTTGACGACGACCCCGGTCTTGTCCAGACCAAGTTTGTCTGTGCAGGCGTCTCTGCCTACGGCTATCAGCACCTGCAGAACAAACACGTTACTTTTCGTTTGTTTTGAATTTCATGGAACTCACTGTTATTCAAAACAAAAAGGGATGTAGATGAGTAACACGTTAAAAGCCTTTTACTGAATTGTGTAAACTGTGAACATTTTTGTTCCACTGGTAATGTAATTATTATCAGCTGTTATCTAACCACCTCCTGAATTACACATTATCGTCCACATTACTTTTTATCAGTCGTTTCAAATTATATTTCCGTGCAACCCCTATTTATGGTCACTGGAAGAAGGCGTTCAAACAAGACCAACTGTCCCCTCTCATTCAAAGAGGAGTCTACTTCACATTTTAATTGATGGCTCATGTTCTCGTGTGTGTGATGCCGCGTCATAAAAACCAAGGTAACAGTGTCTCGACAACAGAGGAGGACAGGAGTGAGAGGAGATTGAAGGATGAAGCTCATACAGTGTTGTACTCTCCCTCGATGAGCTCATCACTTTCTGTGGACTTAGCCGTCACCTTCAGCCTTCCTGGAGTGCCTGCTTCCAGCTCCTCTATCTGACAAACACAGACATAGAAGTGTCAGAAGCAAAATAAATAACCTTTGACCCAGCATCAATCTTTTGGTCTTTTGGTCTATGCAGCAGTTTAAAAACACTCACCTTGATAGGAACAAATTTGCGGATGAACTTAATCCCATGCTCTTCCATGTGTTCCCCGGCACGGTTGGCCATGTCTTGGTCAAAGCCTCTCAGCAGAATGGACCGAACCATGATGGTGACATCAAGACCCAAACCAGCCAGGAAGCCTCCACACTCCAGGGCCACATACGAGGCCCCGATAACCAGGGTCTTTCCAGGGCAGTATGGCAATGAGAAAAGGTCGTCACTAGTAAAATTAGAAAATGTAGTTTTGAATAAACATTTTTAGCTTCAAACATTTAAAACATTTTAATTATGTAAGAACAGAGGGGTTGTCATCCAATACACCGTCACGTTTGCTTTGCTGGGTGGAACAAACAGCAAGAGGCCATTTGTATGTTGCTATAACAGCAGCATAATCACAGAACACACATTAGGAAACCTGGGTTATTATTAGCTACACACAAGAGCAGCCACCTGTGGAGACTCCCAACCCTAGATCAATTGGGAACGTGTTTGGACTCATAGATCTGCCAAGTCCTGCAAGAAGCCTCAGTTAACATTGTGAACCATATTTTTTTAATAGGATAACCTTTTTGAAATTAAGGGTATTTGGGCATTTTTAGGTTGACTATTTCATGTGATGCTGTATTAAATCAACCAGCAACATCCAAACAGGGGGTAACAGGTAAATTGATTTCAGTGGACTTCTGCCAACCTAGCACCCTGGCCAGCCTCAGGAACAATACAGAGCCTGGCCAACCTAAAGTGATGAAGTGATGTGTACTGTATGTGTGAAGCTCTTTTTCCACCAGGTACAGTGTCTCCAATATTTACCTTGTAATGCAGTACTCCTTGTCTCCTGGGATTCCTGGGTAGCGCGGCCTCTCTCCAGTAGCCAGGACAAAATTGGCTGCAGTGTAAAACGTCTCCTTCCCTCGTTTGTTTGTTGCCTATTCAGAAAACAAAAGAGGAGCAGATAAAAAAAATCTTAACAACTAAAGCCAGACAAACACTGGGTGTAACAGCCAGATAAAGTAAAGTGCCAATAAGAGTGTATTTGCTGATGAGGTTTCTTTTTTTTTTTTCCCCTCTTTCTCTTTGTGGTGTAAATGACTTGTCAAGCACAGCGCACACTGTTATTTCTTATTCCAATATAAAATGCATTTACCTTGATTTTGTGTGGTTCGATGAACTCTGCATAGGCATTGACATAGTTGACTTTTTTGTCTCTCAGTGCAACCCTGTAGCCCCAGTTTAAGGAGCCTATGTAGTTGTTCACCGCCATCTTCATCGTCTCCCAGTTGTGTTTCACTAGAGACACACAGTTCACATCAGTAAAATGGGCAAAACCACAACAGCCTTGGATTTTTTTCCCTCTTACAACTTTGTGGACAATCAACTCCTCACCTGTCTCATCAAACTCCCAGCCGTACTTGCGAGCGTCCTGCATGGCTACCCCCAAAAGAGCCGTCTGGTGCATGAGCTTTTTTGGAATGCAGCCCACGTTGACACAGGTGCCTCCAAGGCCTGACAAAACAATTTGAGTGAGCAAATGGATAGGAAACGCCCTTATTATAATGATATCCATAAGTGACAGCTTTTTACCCCAGGTGGTTCCTTTTGGTGTTGGTACAACGTAGTCCAGCACCATGACATTCTTTCCAAGTATAGCAGCTTCCTGCATTAACAGAGTCAGTGTGACTGATACTTCTCACCAATTAAAAATATAAAGTCTGAATGCAGTTGTAAAGATAAGCGCTTACCACCAAACGACAACCTCTTGGACTTTTACTAAGGCAAAGAAAAATGTGCATGTCTTGCACCTTATCACCTCACCTTTGAGCAGGCCAGGCCCCCAGAGCCTCCTCCGATGACTATCAGGTCATAGTCATATGATGGACTGTCAGGGGTAAGTAGCTGCTGCAGGCTGCCGTCTCTATGAGCCTAATAAGGAAAAAAAAAAAAAAAAAAAAAAAATCCCAATCTGATGATTACTGCACTCTGAGTCACTGGACTGTGAAAGAACACAGTATTTTATCACCGCATGCAAAAGCCCCACCTCACCAAATGTATTACCTGAGTCCATATATAAATCACACCTGTCAAGTAGTGCTTTTTACTGTACATATAATATATATATTCATATACTGGGCTAACGACATTCTGTCAGCTTTCAACTGGTTTTTCTTACACTACAGCAGGTAGACTGAGGTCAACGAGCAGAAAGATCTAACGCCCTATGACCAGGGTAGATGTAAATCATTACAGAGATCTATACGTAAGGTGAGGTGAGTGCATCATAATCCACTCACAATACAAATCATCTGCACAAACAAACAAGTTGCACAGAGCAAAAAATGTTTTCAGTAAAATGAAAAAATGTGTAAAATCAGTGTATATATTAAATATGGAGCTAACTTTAAAAGAAACTGAATACAGTCTTATCAGAAAGTTCACATTTTATAATTAATACTATTTATTAAAATCGATACACCGATAGTGTACCTTTTTAAACCTACAAGCC